GCTCCAGTCGGCCGCGCGGGGGGCTGCCGGCACCGGCGGTGGCGGTGGGGTCCCGGACGGTGACGCTGGCCCTGGCCGGCTGCGGGACGCTGGTGCTGGGCTTGCGCTACGCCTGGGCCGAGTGGCCCTGCGACTACGAGTCCTGTGCCCTCTACAACGCCCAGGGGCTCCCCGCACCCCCTTTCCTCATGGATGTCCTGCCCGTAGGGGAAACGGCCGGAGGGAGGGAGCTGCTCCTCCTCCCCGGCTCCCGAGGGATTTAGGCGAGGGGACGGCGGGGGGAGCTGACCTCTCGCGAAGGCTGCCGGCACCGCGACTTTCCGATTCGGGGAAGCGGCTGGCTTGATTACTGTCTTACTAATTAAACGCTTTCCAGCTCCTCTTTGGCCTGAAGTCAAGGCTGCAAGGGGGAAGGGGGGAAAAAAAAAAAAAAAAAGCTAATTTAAAATGAAATTTATGCAAAATTCTGTTCAGACGCACCGATGGGAGTCGAACCCCCTCACCTAAATCCGTCCCAGCCTCCGTCTGCGGGGCGGAGAGCGGGGAGAGAGGAGCTCTGCCAAAAATAAACCCCACAACCAAACGCCAAGACTGGGGCTGGGACAGGGAGCTGCACGTTGCTTCGCCGCGGTAGCGAGCACCTCCCTGCGTTAATAAATAGTTAATAAACCGGCTCATTTTATTCTTGAATCCCGGTTTTTTTTTCCTTCAGAGGAGCATCCCTTCGTCCTCCATTCTCTCCCTCCTGCCCTAACAGCAGGGATATTTGTGTGGAAGAGGCGCGACGTGGCACCCAGCGCTCGGAATAAAGCGTCCGAGGGAGTTTCTGCACAAAAAAATCGATCGTTTAACCCTTTTTTGCTGAAAAAAACCCGTATGTAAGAAGGGGAACCCCAAACGCGGGCAGAGAACGGGTGAGCTCAGCCCGGCCGCCGCGTTACAGACGTCACCCCACCAGGCTGTATCAAAACCAGAGTTTAATGCGCTCGAGCGACGCCGGCAACAGGGAATTGGAGCAAACTGGATCCCAGTAGACCAACTGGGCGGGTGCCGGCAGCGGCCCCCCTGCCTGCTGCCTGCCCCGCTGCCTGCTCTTGGGGTCAGGCAGAGCCGAGCGAGTCCCGGGAGGCTTTTCCCATTGCTTCTACTCCAGGCTTCGTTCCTGGGCAAGGGGGGGAAGAGGAGGAAGTTAATTAACTGGGCGATGGCAAACTGGGATCTTTCTCCACTAGCCCGAGAGCCAGTTGTGCTAGCCCCGCAGTTGCCATGCCGACGAGGATGCTAAACACAGCTCAGTCTGGGTGGTTTTTTGGGAAACCGCAGCCCTCGGACTGTGGTCAGGGCCAGGAAAAGGAGCCCAGGCGCCCCGGCTCCCGCCCTGCCGGGTCGGGGATCCCCGCGGGGCCGCAGAGGAGGCGCCAGGAGAAGGGGGCAGGCGCGGCATCCTTGGCATTCCCAGGATTTTAAGCTCCCAACCCCACTCCCAGCAGGCTCTGCCAAAAACGGGGACCCCCCCCAGCCCCCCCCCGGAGCTTGGATTTAAGCGGCAAGCTCTCCGCTTTCTGTTCCTATGGCAACCCCTGCCCACGCGTGGGCTCGCGGTGCCATCACATCCCGGCTGCCAGAACCCGTTCCCGGCTGTAAACGGAGCCGTCGGCCCTCCCGGCGACCCCCGGCAGCTCCCCAAAAACCTTAAGGCCTCGGCAAAGGGTTTAGGGCCCCGGTGGACGGATCCAGCCTTGCCCCCAGGGTGGATTCTGGCGGCGCAGGAAGCAAGAGGAGAGCAAAGAAGCTTTTTCTACCAAAAAAAAAAAAACCCCACCTGGAGCCCCACCGTTGGAGAGGGGCGCGCTGCCATCGGCCTCCGGGGAGCAAGGGTGGTGTTTGGGTTTGGTGGTCTCCAACCCGGCCAGCAGCGTCATGAAGTCGACGACGGTATCGATGTCCTGCTTGTCCGGGGTGGCTTCCCTCAAGGCGTTGACGGCGTTGAGGCGGCCGAAGGAGGTCAGCTCGGAGATGTTGGCCCGGAGGAAGAGGAGGATGACGTTGAGGTCGTTGACGGGGCAGGTGAGCATCTTGCGGCTGAGGAGATCGAAGGCGGGCAGCATCTCGTAGACGGAGAGCAGCCCCTTGTCCCACTGGCAGAGCTGCAGGGCGTTGTAGATGACGACGGGCATGAGGAGGACATAGACGCCGCCGACCGAGAGGCTGATGAGCTGGAAGACGGAGAAGAAGACCAGCTTGCAGGGGATGAGCGCGGGGACGCGGGGCTCCGCCTGGAGCAGCCCCGTTTTGATGGAGCAGCTGAACTCGTCCTGGAAGAAGATGTTGAGGTGGAGGAAGACCAGGTAGAGGCAGGTGGCAGCCAAGAAGAAGAGGAGCAGCAGGTTCCTCAGGATGTAGATGAACGCCAAGGAGTGAGCGTGCTGCTTGCAGGTGAGGTAGCGCTCCAGCAACGGGAACTCAAAATACCTCTCCCGGCGGGCCCTGGGGACAGAGGGGACACGCCGGGGACTTAGAGCCACCCCCCAAACCCAGTCGCTTCACCGAAGCCCGTCCCGAACGCGGCCGCAGCCGCGACGCCGCGCGGAGGGGCTTCGGAGGGACGCGGTGACCGGTGGAGGCTGCCCGGCGGCCTCACCTCTCGTATTCCTCCCAGAATCGCTCCGGCTCAGCGCTGGCCTGCTGGACCTTCCTCATGTGCTGCACCAGGCGCACGGACCGGTTGTAGGATTTGTCCAGCTCGTCGATGATGAAGAGGAGGTCGGAATGGAGGGCGGGAGCGGCAGCGTAACGCCACAGCAGGTAAGGCATGTACATGAGCACCGCCACCACCAGCAGCGAGTAGGGGAAGACCTGGGCGAAGGAGACAAGCGGCGCGGAGCTGCTTCGCCTCCGCCGCGCGCCCGGGCGGGACCCGAGGGTGCCCAGAGGCGAGCTTGACCCCTACCTTGAGAGCCCAGAGGGACTTGGTGACGGCGTGGCCCTCGGCGTCGAAGCCGTGGTGGACGAGGGAGTCCCAGCAAGCCGTGTCGGCGTAGGCGGACTGCTTCCCCGTGAAGTTGGTGGGGGAGAAGCAGCTGATCTGCGAGCCTGGAGCGAGGAGGAGAAGGGTCAGCCTCAGCCACGGAGGTCTGGCGAGCACGAGCGATCACATCTAAGGCGTCGCTTTGGATTAAAAAAAAGCCTTTTTCACGCCCGTTTTGTAGCTGCCCTTCCCCACCGCTGCGTTTTCCAGCAAGGACTTTTTCCATCGCTTCCCAAACACAAACCCTTTGAGCACGGCCGTGGGTGCACGGTGTGGGGAATGAGAGACCGGCCAGAAACCGGAGTCAAACCAAATCCCCAGGGACATCGGCTGAGGCCGGATTTAGCCTGAGGTCGCGACGCACCGTCAATGCAACCCTCTGTGCTGCCCTGGCAAACCCCGGCGGGACCTGAGCCGCCCTGCCAGCACCCTCCTCCTCCTCTTCTTCCTCGGAAACAACCCTGCGGCACCCAGAGGTGCTGGGGGCAAGCAGCTGAGGCGCGGCATTGATCCACCACCGGTGCTGGGGTTTAGCGCGGCTGTTCCCGGGCTTTCCCAGCGACCGATAATCCATTAAAAACAATCAATCAATACCCCTGAGAAAGAATAGTTCCTAAAACAGGATTTCCAGGCTGCCCCGCCTCCGACCACGACCACGCCGGCGCCAACACGAGGGTTTTGCAGCGACAACCGAACCGCCGGCGGCGGCGATCGCCCGCGACCCCGTTGCGAATGCCGCGACTCACCGGCGGAGAACTCCCGGGCGAAAGCCAGCGAGACGAGGAAGAGGGGCAGCCCCACGGTGACGAACTTCAGCAGGCGATCGCTCGGCAGCTCCAGCCGCAAACCCTTGGCTCGGGAACCGCCGGGATCCGGGAGGAGAGCGTCGGAGAGCATGTACTCGGCGGCCGTGTGCGAGAGGGACATTTTTCTATCGAGGAAGAGGAGACGACGGCGACTGCTGCTGCTGCCGGGCGGCTCTGGCGTCGTCTGAGGCGTGACCGGCTCTAGGAGCGCCTTTGTAGGGCTGAAGGCATCGCTTGCCAAGCGCTCCGTCCCCGACGGCTGTAAATGACAGCTTAGACGGTGCGTTAAATCAACTGGTAATTACAGGGGGAAGCCTTTTTGCAAATAGCACGCCTCGAAATAGAATAAAAAAAGAAAAAAAAAATAGCAGCCGCGGCACCGGGCTGGGAAGGCAGCGTTCCTCCCCAGCCGCAGCCGCTCCCCGGCTCCTTGTGGTTTTACGTCCCTCTCTCATAAGCAGATGTATTTCTGGCGGCGCTTTCGAGGGGCGTGGGGCTCCCCGGCTATTTTTGCTCCGTGCGAGGAGTGGGGAGGCAGGGGACGGGGCATTACCCGACCAAAAAGCCCCAGCCAGGTACGTGGTGGCCCCGTGGGGTACAAAAAGCCCCAAAAACACACCAAAAAGGACTTTTTCCCACACCCGAACCAGCCGGAGGGGCTGGAGAAAGTCCTGCCGCCCAGCCGCAAGCTTGGGATAGAAAAGAGTCTCCTGGCAGCGCAGTCGCTCCCCAAAAACCCGCGCCGACACCCCTGGCAGCACAGAGCAGAGGGAGTCCCGGAGCAGCGGAGGAACTCCCTGCACAGTCTCTTGGCACAGCAAAAAAAAAAAAAAAAACCCACGGGCGCTGCCAAATTACACTTTCGATGGATTTTTTCGAACAAAGGGAGTCTCCAAATTTGAACGCGGAGCGTCAGGCTACGAGGGAGAGGCTGCTAAACAGCGCCGGCCCTCAAACCGGGAGGGACGGCACCCAGGCGCGATCAAACCTGCCCAGGGGCCGAGATCCGCCCGGCCCGAGCAGAGAGACACGCAACCCTTCGCCTCTGCAGGAACCGCATCTTTTATTGCTCAGAGACAAGTTCAAAACACGGATTGGGCGAAGCCCAGTTTCCACCCGGCCTCCTTTGTCCGAACAAGAGGCTCTTCCGTGTGCCCCGCCGCTTTTCTGCGCCGAACCAGGGCAAGAAGCGCGCACAGGTACCTGGTTTGAAGCCAGCAACGCCGGTACCGACACCGGAGGTCTCTGGCAAGCAGCAGAGACTGGCTCCAAGGCGGACACCGCTGCAGAGCGGCCGGACCCCGTGCTGGAGCCGCGGAGATCGAGGGTACCACTCCCATCCTGCCTCGTTAGTCCTTAGGGATGTCCAGCTCCAGCTTCTTCAGAGTCTTTTGGAAGAAGAGGGGGGGCTTGCAGACGAGGTCTATCCGCTCGCCCAGGGGCAGGGAGAGCCGGTAGGCGTGGAGGTGGAGGGGGAGGTGGCGAGCCTTGCTCTGCTCCAGCTTCAGCCTCTTCAAGGTGATCGCAGGCAGCTTCTGCGGCGAGGACAGAAAACGTCCCTTCCGCAAACCCAGCTCCTCAGCTGGGACTGGAAAATCCCAGGCTCGGAGGGAGCTGGGGGGCACAAAGGGGCTGCCGGCCCTGGATCCGGCTCCGGCAGCGGCCCCCGACGCGGGACCTGCCTTACCTGGGGTGCCAGCTTGCTCCAGTGGGAATATTTGTGATCCCCCAGGATGGGACACCCCAACCCGTAGGCCAGGTGAACCCGGATCTGGTGCTTCACTCCTGAGGAGGGAAGGGAAAAAGAGGAGAAACGTGACAACCAGCCGCGCCAGGCCTCGGCTCCCCCCTGCCACCCTCGGTGCCGGAAAATCCCGTGCCAAAATCACCGGCAGCCGGAGAGCGGCCGGGCAGCAAACCATCGCCCCGGGGTGGTTTGTTCCCTTGGCCCAAACAGGATTTCGGTTGTGTCTAAGGACGAGTTCCCGCTTCCGGCGCTGCTCTTGGCTGCAGAGCCGCAGGGAAAGGGCATTCAGCAGCCGACACAACCCCAGGGACGCACGGCCAGGCCTCACCCGTGACGGGCTGGAGCTCCAGCAGGGAGCAGGCGGAAGAGCTAGCCAGGCGGCGGTAGCGCGTCACGGCGCTTTCGGCGTTGCGGTTCTTGCGGATTTTCACCACCTTCCCGTCCTCCGGAGACAGGCGATAGTTGGGGGCCAGCGTCATCTGAACGGCGGGGAGAGGGTGAGCCAGCGGGAAGGCAGGAAGGGGGTGCCGGGGAGGGGGGTGCCGGGGAGGGGGAGCGCGAGGCCAGAACGGCGGCCCAGAGGATGTCCCGCTCACCTTGTAGTGCGACTGGTGGCTCCGCACCTCCTTCTCCACAATGGGGATCTCCACGATGCCCTCGGCAGGGTCCGGGTCCCCCAGGCTAATTGCCCTGGGGAGGGAAACCGGAGGTCTGCGGGGTGGTGCTCCATCAGGAAGGGAACCCTCCCCTCACCCCCTCTCCCCACGATCCAGCCCTGTACAAAGATGCCAGAGGGAAGATAAGCAAACACCCACCGCTTCCACAAAGCCCCCGCGCCCCGCTGTCCCTTCACCCCTCCTTCAAACCCTACGGGCCCTTCGAAGCCGCTTCTCCACCCAAACCTTTCCTACCAGTAGATCTTCTCCACTTGACGAGTTTTGAAGAGAAGCCGGATCCTGTCCGCCACCTCCTTGCTCCGCGCCAGCACCATCACGCCCGTGGTCTCTTTGTCCAGCCGGTGGCAGAGGTGGAGGGGTTCGGCTTTCATGTTCTCCAACATCTTGGCCAAAATCGGCAGCACGTCAGCAATACAATTCTTGATCCCGGGGCCGCCTGCATAACCCAGAGGCAAGGCAATCAGGGGAGACGTTCACCTTAAATTACCCCCAAAACGTGAGATGAAGGCTGCGATCTAAAGGTGACAAACACCCCGCATCCCTCCCTGGGAAGGAAAACCTCAGTGCAGGGAGGACGGAGACAGAGGATTCCCTGTCAGCGCCATGGAGCCGTTTCATACAATCATAGAACCGTTTAGGTTGGAAAAGACCTTGAAGATCATCAAGTCCAA